CCTGGCATCGCTACTAGGAGCAAGGACGCTACTAGGGGCTCCTGGCCTTACTACTAGGAACAAGAAGCTACAGATCTTGCTCTTCAAAGATGCCTCCTCGTCTCCCCTTCCCATTCTTTGCTCCAAGGATTGCCATGCTGATCTGTACTGTTGATTCCTGTCCTCCAGTCAGGAAGTCCAACCAAACACCGAGTCTTTAAAACATTGTGCCGCTGTTTTGCCCAGGCTTCGATCTTTTTTACCTGTTTGTTAACTCTTTGTGTCCGGTTTCCTGACCAAAGGATATGAAGCCAGAAAGCAATTGACTTGGGGTGTAACAACCGGCTGTAACTCCTTCCATTCGGTTTGGAAGCTGAATACTCAGAACTGTGGAGTGTTCCTTTTCAGCTGCTCATTGTTCCAAGTTCCAGGGTTTCAAACCAAGATAGCATAAGAGATTTTGCTATTGGAAAAGGCATGATGCTGGCAGTTGGGACATGAGAGCTGAAGCAACGCTCAAGGGAACAAAGTAGGTGGCATGCTACAGGCATGCAGGACTCGAGAGAAATGCTGGCTGAAGCAAGTTGTCAAGAGTCCATGTCACGTACCCAAGCAAGAGTACCCTAAAGTGGAATATGTATATGAAACAGGCTTGACACAGGTATATTTGGAGAGGACTGCTTGGAGAAGACTTTTTGTTCTTGTGGTACTCAGAGAACATCAGAACATGTTTTATAGATATAGACTATCAATCATTTCGATGTTTAAAACCTTAGGTTGTGCAATTTGCCAATTCCAGTTCGGGCAACAATGGGCCTTTTGCGTTGCTGTGAGGCAATCGAGGTGGTTACTCGGCCACCAGCAGCCAGTCTGCATCAAAGTGTAGCAACAGGAGCAACCCGACAGACAAAAGCTATCCGCTGATAGCTTTCTTGGTTTGTTCTTTCAAATGAGGTATGCGCTGCCATGATTTTTTCGCCTGACGACAGCCCTCAGACTACACTGAAAGCAGGCGAGACCTTTGACCCTTGGAGTTGAAATGAAAAAGACAGGCCAACGGCGCCAAACAGCAAGGACTCTTGCCATCTATATAATCAAATTTGTCATGTCGTGTGTGCGAGCAATCCTGGCCACTCCACCGCAAAGCCACGAACCAGTTTGCTGAGTAAAGGTTTGCTAACGCAGTGCCTGCAGCAAGACAACTTGGAATCACAGAAGGTGCTGCAGTGCTGCATGTACTTTCTTCCCACTTTGGTAGTGTTGCCGTTTTCATAGCTGGACCTTGGCGGACAAAGTTGACCTAGGAAGCGACTTGGACGATGGAAGCAGGGCATCCAGGGGATTGCTATTTCTATTTGAGACGCTTGGCTGTGCATTGATCGGTGTTGGGTGACCCAAGGAGAAGATCTTGAATGCCTTCAAGCTATATAACAGACCATCGCACCGCTTCACAGCATGCTTCACACTTAACACAGGGATATTGCTTTATTGAACGTTTGGCATTATTCAAAGCGGGCTTGCCGAAGCCTGAAGCCTACTTGAAAGGAATGTCTTGTGGAGACCATAGAAAGGCAAGGGGAAGCAGTGCACGTCTTACCACGATAGCTTTTGTCCTTCCGCATCACCAGAACTATGAGTGCCTGTCACAGGTTATGATGCAGATCCCAGCAATGCGGTTGCTTGGCAGCTTTGAGCTCGCAAAAGGATGCGCTTTGTTGATGCTGGATGACTGTATACTATTCACCGGGGTTCAAACATATGCAAAGTGTAGCAAAGAATGCTGCGCGAAGCTGCGCGATACATCAAGCTCTTTTGCCGGAAGTTTCAACTGGTTCGTACCAGCGACCTTTCACCTTTCCCACCTTTTTACAGAATGCCACTGTGCAAATAGTAACAAGTGCCACGCTAGTAGTAACAGGTGCCTTACTAGTAGTAACAAGAAGCTAGTAGTAACAAGTGCAACGCTAGTAAGCTAGTAGTCAAAGTCTAGCTGGGTGAACTGGCATCGTGGAGGTCAACTTCTTCAAAATTGCCGCCATTCCTGGCTGTGGTGCTCCCGATGGCATGGGACCCAGACATTGTCTTGGCACCTTCAGATTGAATCCATTAGCCCCTAGTAGCGGCCTTGTTCCTAGTAGTAATCATTAAATAATCCATGATTTCTATGTTTGTTATGATTCTTAAACTGCCAACACCTGGCCTCTGCATGGTGCTGAAGTTCTGAGTAACTGAGTAGGTAGTGCCTTCTCAAGGTAGCCAGTGCCTAGACACATTCCGCTTCCAAGGCCTAAACATTCCTGCCTCTGTGACCACCACCGTCTTGCTGCCACCTGAAGTACCAGCATGTGATCATTGCGTGCTGCGATGGGAATGGACTGCACATCAGCAGGCAATGCTTGAAGTTTTCGCGTTCTCTCTGGAGCGCTGAAGCTTTCATCCCTAGTCTGACCTGATTGGTTTCAGCGCCAACTGCTCGATGGGTAATGTGTGTTAAGCGCCCCTTCGGTCACTTGGAGAAGGTTAAGAGGGTGACAAGAAAAGGTTTGACCTAATGCTGGGTTCAAGGCTCACAGAAATATAAGACAGCCTGAGCTTCGCCGGCTCTAAACATTCAGCGCTATTCACATCGACGAAAGGCCATCTCCATGACCAAATGGTGAGGCGACCCCTTTCGGGACAAGCACAGTGGATTTGGGATGGGTGGTCAGTCTTGGAAGTTGAGGTTTCCACAGGTTTGCGCTGGTTCGCAAAAACAGGCACATCTGAGGATGGACCGTGAGCTTCACAAATGGACGGAGGTGCTGTTTGTCGATTGGCGAATCCGCCAGGTTGTTGACATTGAGTTCTATGTGCAGTGCGCAGATGTGAAGGCTTGGGCCGTTGTTCAAAACACATGTGGGATGCAACAGTTCAACCCGGAAGCTGCAGGACTCACCTCATTCACCGCTCAACCTTTCAAATGTGTTGTTTGTTTTGTTGCTTTGTCGGTTTCAGGATGCAATGTTTGTTGAGTTTATAGGGTGGAGGCCATCGCTTGTAGGTTGGAGGCCATTGTTTGACCAAGGTCAAGTTCAACCAGATTCCAGAGCAATTTCACAAGTCGTAATCAATGTTTGCCTTTTGAACAGGGGGGGCGTTAGGTATTCTGGGCTTGACATCCTTTGTGTAGCTCGAATCTTATTAAGCGGCATTCACCAAAGTTGCACACCTTGTGGCATCTTCGACAACTTCCATAGCGTTGCAAACCATCTTAGAAGCCTTTGGGTGGCCCCTTTGGGTGGCCAGAAGGGCATTACTAGCTAGAAGCTACTAGTAGCTATTTGCTACTAGCGTCCTTGCTCCTTGTTACGTTCGTAGCATCTAGTAGCGTCCGAAGCCTTTCGATGTTTGGCGATGGCGTTGCACCGTGCAGATCACGAGCACCGCTGGACCAACACTGCCGAGCCCAATCACAGCCATCGCTGGCATCGAGCACTTGCCGCAGGAGCCAAACGCATTTTCCAATTGACACTGGAGGTTTGACACATGTGTTATGTCAATCGTGCCACATGAAAGAGATGCATGCAGGATGCTTCAGGCTACCGGAAGGCGTGCCTGTTTCAAGCAAGTCAGGGAGGTCAGAAAACATGTTCTGCATTTAGGAAGAAAGGCTCACGCTTTTAGCTTGTCTACTTTTCCTGTAGATCGTTGAGATGTTTGTCATCCAGTCACAGGTCTACAACGGGCAAGGTCCAGAAGAACAGTACTTGATCGGCCCGGCGGTTGCTACTTACAGCATTTGCAGCATTGGTGCACCAGGTGTCACGGCAAAGCTTAACATGGTAAAAACAGTTGCTAAGCAACCATGTTCCTCAAGAACTGGCATTTGCAGGGTGTGTTTTGAAGTGTTTGTATGTGGTATGGCTGAGGTTGCATCTCTGACATTGGCTTGGCACCAATCACCCAAAGCACTTCGCAGGTGTCCTTGGAATCTACTGAGCCCCAAACTACCACGCCTTCAGGCACAAGGGCTGGGCTGGATCTGAGGCCGAGGTCCGAAGGTGGTTTGACGAGAGCAGTCATTTCGGAGTGAGCACTGTGCAGGGGCTGCTACGGAATGCAACTGCAATCCTGACACTGAGTGGAATGGTGGCTTCGCCCAATATGCGACTAGGCTTTGAAGAAGTAGATACATTTTTTGTCATTTTCTATTGCAGGCAATTTTGCATTATTTGTTGTCTTTTCATGTCTTTTGAAAATTCCCCAGCTGGACATCTGTCAACCCTTTTCCCACGGTCTTCACGTGTCATGAACTTCGGACCACTCTCCTTGCAATATCTTGCAATTCGATGGTCAGTAGGTGAGCATGTCGCTGAGTGGGTGAGGGGAGAGGCCCGGGTGTCCCAACAGATTGGTGACCTCCTACACGCATGAATCCATCCCAGATGCCTCTGCTGAAAAGACTTTCGAACAGCTGGCTTGTCAGACAGACAGCTCGGTTTGCAGCATTTTGTCAGGGCAAACAGTTCCAAGGCCTTGGGAGCGGATTTTTGCAGTCAAAACTTTGGCGGAGCCAACCCTTGGATCTCTGACGCTCGAAGAGGACGAATCACTTTTGGGATCCTGCAGCTATTGTTGCAGACTTTTTATCCTTGTGTAGGCTTGCAGGCCGCTTGCAAAGAAGACTGCTATTGTAAATGACTACACCCCCATTCATTGAAATTTTGATGGTCTAAAGCCAGATGCTGAGATTGCACCGCGGTTTCTCCTTCCGCTAAGGGTGGAAGCAATGGTGGCTTTAGCGGGGCAGCAGCTTGCGTGACAGAGTATACCTTCCAGGACCACAACACATGGTCTGTGTCAATTCCAGGTTTGAACAGCATGTTGGTCAGTTTGGTTTTCATTAGCAGTCATCTCTACTAGGGTGGAGGCCATCGCTCTTGGGTTCAACAGCATGCTGGCCTGTTTAATTTCATTTTAACGGGTCGATTTGTGGAAGTGGCTGGACGAAGGCGATGTTTATTTAATTCATCCGACGCAGGAGAACTATTGGCAGATCTTGGTTGGAGAGGCGTTTGAGGGATGAAGTGCGACGGGGTTGGGTAGTGTGCATCCAACTAGAAACATATCAAAACAACTGTTTACTGATATGATATGAACGAGTTGAACAAGAGGGAGAATTGGAGCTCCGACCAGCTGTTTGTACAGGCAGGGCCCAAGCTGAAACAGAACATACTAAATATTGGCAGGCTTGATGTGGCAAAACATGTATTGTACACAGAGAAACATCTGAATACATGAAGGTGAATAGAATCAACTAAATCGATCAAATTAGTTCCCTGCAAGGATGCCTTGGGCAAAGCACCTCATCGAGCTTTTGCCTATGCTCAGTTCTGCAACGGCAAGGCATACAGCGAGTGCTGGACTTCCGAGAAGGTGACCTTCTCTTTCTCATTGATGGTTCAGGGCCTGAGCTTGACACTCGCAGAAAAGTAACAGTCACAGTTTTGTCAAACTTTTGTGACTTCTTATGAGCACTTTCCCAGATTAGACAGCCAGACAAAAGGTTTCGGCCTAGGGCTGTGACATGACCGTCGTGGGGGCCTAGGGAGGTCTGAAAATTTGTGCTCAGAGTGTGGGCAGAGACTCTCTAAAAAGTCATTTTGTCTTAACTTGATTTAACTTGTGTTATATTGTGTTTTGTTTTTTCGCGTCATGCTGTCTTGTGATACATTGACAGTGCAACAGTGTAAGTTTGAATGTTTTTTGGGGCCTCAATACCAGGAAAATTTCCGGCAGAGCCGTAGGGTGGAAGTTTCTTCAAATGATTCACCCATAGGACGTTTGGAAGCTGTGATTGATGTGTAATGTGGCGATTTGGTGTGTGTTGGGTGATGTGATGTGCAGTAGTGCAGTAAATTCGATGATTCGTGACGCAGTGAGCACGTATTTGTTGGTGATTTGTATACAATGAAAATCAAGGTGGTGAAGCGTAATGTGGCGAGGTGCAGCCTGTTCTTTAACAGTTTCTTTGTTGTTTGATCATGTCTGTTTTTCTCCGGTCAAGGCTGGGTTTGATCGAGGGTGCTCACCTGCCAGTTATAGCACATTCATGCCTCTCGAGATCTTTGTGGGTGTGTTTCGACTGCGTAGGCTCACGCAAGCTGCTGGGCCCGGGGGTCACTTTTCGTGGAAGACAGGGAATCCTATTCTTAATTCTTGTTTCCTACTAGCTTCTTGTTACTAGTAGTAAGGCCCTTGTTACTAGTAGCGATGCACTTGTTCCTAGTCGACTTTTTGTGGGTGCAAGAGGTCGGAGCCGTTTTACGTCGATACTGTTTGTCTTTGTGGCAGCGATTGGCCGCGCAGCGCTTTGGACTTTGTGGCTGTTTTTGACGTGCTTGGGTTTTGTGGCTGGAGAAGGTTCCGCGGCGCTGTGTGGGCAGGTCCAGGCACTTTGCGCCTCGAAGTGCAGATTTCATGTGCACGTGCTCTCATGTGTGTTCTCGTACGTGTGCTCTCAACTGTGCGCTCTGGTATGTGTGCCCAGAGCACACATACCTGTGCTTTGTTGTATTTTGCTTCTCATCATCTTTCATGTGTTTCTTTGCATGTTTGCTTTCATGTGTGTGGTATCAAAAGTGTGCCCTGACGTCCAGTGTGCCCTCGCATGTGTGCTCTCCTTTTTTGAGTTTTTATGTATGCTCTCATATGTTTGCTCTCATGTGCTTAGCTGTCATTTTCGTATTCTCATGTGTGCACTTTAGAGTCCTGAAATTGATTTATCCGTCATCATTCGGGGCCTCTTGCAGGGATCACTAACAAACCTCTGCTTCTCCGTCAACATCCCTCAACTGTTCTGCACGCGTGTCTAGATTCTAGATTGTACTTTTCCCCAATCTATACTTGGCGTAGCCCTGCCAAGGAGTTTTGAAGCCTGCAGTCACGTTCGATGAGCGAACTCAAGCCAGCCAGGCAGACCTGCCAGAGTGTTGACCAATGGAATTGTATCCCACGCCAGCCTCCGAATGCGAATACCTGCTCCAATGCTTATCATCGCTGCACTGCGTTCCATGCATGTCCTCCCAAACGACGTGACAGAGCTCCTCTCTCAACCATGCAGCAGGCGCAGTGGTGCCATAAACTGAGCGCATTGTTTGGCCTTCTACCTTTAAACCCAGCACCCGTTCTACATATTGTTCACGCAAATCCTTTATGCACACTCGCAGTTCTCCAGACTGTATTGCTTCCGTCAGTCGGAAGTTTCTATCTAAATGTCCTTTGATAATAAGTACTATATAATATACGCAAAACCATTGCAATGGATGTCTTTCTGTTGCCAGACAGCCAGAGCGACTTTCATTTGCACATGTTCCTTGTCAATGCATCTCCTAGATTGTCAAGATCACCTGCATCAACCTTTGACATTGCGGTTAGGCGCTTGTTTTGTGTTTTGCGTGAGTTTTGTCCCGAGTACTGGTATGCTATTGTAGTAGATCCTGCACACTGCGCACACTGAGGATTGGAGCATATGTCAAGGTTCTATTCTGGACAGACGCTGGCAACATTTTGGGGCTTCTCCCCCCCAAGTGGCTTGGATTGGCCGTGGCGTCCTTGCTTCTAGTAGTAAGGCCCCTAGTAGCGGTAGCGTTCTTGATCCTAGTAGCGATGCCAGGAGCCCCTTGCAGCGTCCTTGCTCCTAGTAGCGATGCCACCTGGATTGTGCCGTTTGGCCGTGATTCGAAAAAAGCAACGGAAAAAGTGTGTTTTTCTCACACCGTGTATGACGAGGCCATCCCAAAGGTGATGGCAAGTTGCGCCTCATCACGTTTATGACCGACGACTATCCCAACTCATGGACCGGCGAGAAGGAGATCCAAGAGTCGGTTTGGTACCACATTCAGGTGGTCTTCACACCTGCTACAGGCACAAAATGGCTGTGGCATCGCTTTGGCGTGGTCGTATTTCTGAGGGAAATTAGTCGTATTCGGCTTTGTTCTTGGATATCGTTGAAGCATTGACGCAGCTTGACTCTGCCCATTGCAGGTGGGGTGGCATTGCAAGTGGATTCCCAGGCACTTGACACAGGCAATGTGCCGGTGCAAGCCCCAGGCTTTGCTTCAGCTGAAGGTGAGCTTATGTTGTTGGATTGTGTGCTGTGATATTATGCTTAGCCTTCAGGATGAATGAGATGCAATGGTTGAACATATCTCCCATGTTATATATTTTCAACTGCAACTAGTCCTCATTCTTTTGAGTGCAAAACAGAGAGAGGATGGCTGATCAAAATATGACGCGCTTACACACTTGTGAGGTGAATATGCTGGCTGCAACCAATGGGCCACAGATTGGAGTTTACTCCTTTGACTATGCCACCCAATCATGGCCGGCCGAGCTTTTGATGGCACAAGAGTCTGATAGGTAAAGGTATCCTCGCCACATATGGACCGGGTTGAGAGCTCTTCTATTCAGATACGCCAAGCAGCTTCTACTGAGAGGTATTTACACACTTTGCGCGAACGCATTACATAAACAAGTTCACTTGATAACACATTATTTAGTTGGTAGTCTTAATTATATATGTTTATCTAATGTAGAGCCTCTTGCAAAGGTTCCACATCACACCATAGCTCCCACCTCAGACACTCCAAGTGATGCCCAGTTGCGCAGTTGCGCAGTGAGAATTGTGTAAAGAGAAAGAGATCCAAAAAGACACAACATGCATGCCACCCACATGCTGAACTATCTCTTTGATTGCTCATAGCTTCACGGGGTCCGATCGAGCAGTGGTAGCCAAAAGAGAAAGCCGCTGAAGGATCCCTGTAGCAAGAGGAGGACATAGTTGGATCATGCCAGACCGTTTAAGTTCTTGGCCCGAAGTAACAGCATTTGTTCTTATTTTTGCAATCGTTTCAATTGATTCCCTCACAAGCGTGGGTTCAATCATGTTTAAATGTACCAGCATCATGGCGAGCCAGTGCATGGTTAAGAACAGCAAAGGCAACATGGGTCCGAAATGTTTTTTGAACGCCTTTGATCGTGCTTTTGAATCACATTGATTTGCAAAGCTCTGCCAAACAAATTAGGGTGACAGAACCCCTTTTGGCCACAAAGACATACACTTGATATACATAACAGCTTCAACAAGCCACAAAGTCCTTGATGTGGAGAAACTCCATGCCTGAGACATTCTTCGGTTAAGCCAGTAAGATGTTCACAAAATGACCAGGATATGTCAGATGTTAAGTTCTTTTAGGAGGTTGAGGTTGATTAAAGACTAGACGAATGTTCAGCTGAAGTTCAGCTTGCCCAGGAAGGATTGAAACTCTACTTGAGTGATGCCTGCATTGGAGCTGCAGCCGGCACATGTCCATCAGGCTCGCATTCTGACAGCCCCAATAGGCCCTAATGTTGAAGGGCTTGCTGCTTCTTTTTTTGGTGCAGCCTTTTCAATGCGCTCCTTTTATCAGTGACATGACATGACACCTGCAGAGTCCGTTGTGTAGGCAAAGGGCCATCGGTCACAGAGCTTGCCTCGACCAGCGCAGCAGGCCTGATTGAGAATCCAAGGTCTCTGGTCCAGGGTCTCTGAGTCGGTTTTAAGGTTGCAAGGTTGTGCATTCCAATTACTAGTAGCTTGCTCCTAGTAGTAAGGCCAGAGCTACTAGTAGCTTCTTGCTCCTAGTGCATTCCAATTTTCATGCAGTTTTGCTTAATGCGTTTACTGCAAGTGCACACCTGCATGCAAATCAGCAAGAGCATCAAACAAAAACAGTCGTTCTCTACCTCATTAGACTTATGTCGCGACCAGGACGTATGCAAGTGTGAGGCATTTTTATGCCTTTAACATGTGTTCATCATGCCGCAGCAGGTTTCGCTGGTACTAGGCTGTGTGTGGTGCTAGGACGCAGCGAGGAAGCTGGCTTAAACATTAATGTTTTTTGTGTTGCCATCTGTAGTTTGCTCAATGATGTATATATATATATGTATATATATTAATATGTGTATACCTTAGCTGGAATGAACACTTTCTGAACATTGATGTTTCAACTTTTCAGCTCGGAAGGCGCTTCCAATGGTAAAACTGGTCAATTCTATGCATTTGTGTTGTTCTGCATATAAACGTGCCTGAAAGGCACTACCCTCAGTGCGCCAAGCAGCACAGAAGTATCGGTCCAAGGAACAGGCTTGGGATTTACACAGGACCGCGGAGTGTGCAAAGTAATTGCTTGGAAGCAACAGCTTTATTCTGCACAGAAAGCCCTTGCTTGCACGGAGTACTTTATCCCTTGCAGTGTTCACTCACAAGCTACTGTGTGCAGAATGATTCTGCTCAACATGAACATACTTACTCTGAACATACTTGCACCACCCTTTCTGCACACTAGATAGTCCAGCTTTTGGGCCACCCATCGTATACTTCGTGTGCTCATCTGTGCTCTTTTGTTGTGGGGTGCGTTGCGGAGCAGACCACATTGTCAAATAACAGCAAGATACCACTTTTGCACATGGCAGTACATGCTCATGATCTTACGATATGGGGTGAAGTCCATTGTGGTTGGTCGGAGCTTGATTGAACAAGTCAAATTGGGATTGGATGGCTATGGCAGACTACTAGGAGTGCACATTGTCATCCTGTCAAACGAACACGTTTTTCTCACCTGCTTGTTTCAATAGCAATTGTACAGCGGTCCACTTGAAGCACCCCGTGCTGCATTGGTTGGATGTGACGTTCCTGTCTTGTTTGGAGGCCTAGCTGCAAGCACGACGTCAACTGGGACACCATCCATACGAGGTGAAGGAATAGAATCGACTGGAACAGTCGAAGACCTGATGCAGAACACGCCTTTGCGGCTTTGGGGTTTGCAACGATGATGATGTTACATGTCATTCTTGAAGTCATGGAACAAGGTTGATTAGGTTGGTGCTGTTCTTTACACAGCTTTTCGTGCGCGAACTTCCCTGACTTCTCAGCTCTTGACTGGCAGGTAGCCCTGACAGCAGCAACTGTCCGCTGCCAGGTGGGCTCTGGCACAATGATCTGACTAGACAAGCAAGCCAGTAGTAGTAACAAGAAAGAGTTTGACATGTTTTTTTATCCCTCAATGCTGTTTGTACAACTATGGCGATCTTGCTTCGATGGGCCGGAAGGGAAAGCCAGCAAAAACGAATGAAGACCGTGCGCGCGCTTGTTTTGCATCATTCAACCCTGCAAAGAGTGCGAACATACACATGCTTTGGTGGTGTTGAACCGCTTACAAACAACCTTGCTACAGAACAGCACCTGGCCACCGGCAGAGCATTGTCCAGGTTTGCCTTATTCACCAGCAATAGCACCCTACAGGAGCACAAGTTGCCACAAGCAGCTTTGATGTCAACAACTTGCATCCAAACACAGCAAAGCCTTGCAGAGACCTGTTGAACGAACCCAGAAACAACCATTTGAAGACCACCCAGCAAAGGTCTTCGGTGTGATCAACTTGTGCGCGCCCCCTTCGGTGTGATCCTTCCTGCAAGTTGTGCGTCATTGATGGGTGCAAGTGAACGCATCACGCCGTCACTGGATGTGTACTCCCTTTGTTTCATCTTAACAACAGGGTGCCAGCGTTCACTGCCTCAGCAGCTTGCAGCCTCTCTTCGCCTAGTATTTGCTCAGCTCTGACTCGAGCACTTCGCTACAGTTTTCCTTGCCTTCCTTTGGCTTTTGTATTGAAGCAGAATTTCTGCCTTCAACCCAACGCTGATCAGGAGCGGGTTTGCCCTCGTTTGTGTCCGAGTGCTACTGTGGCTTCGTGACGAGCACCCTGACAAGAAAACATTCGTTCCAAGGCCGGAGACGCATCCGCTTCAATCGCCCTTTTTGACAGAATCTTAAAGGGTTATAGATGTTATAGTAGTTTTGTTAATAAGCTGTCAGGCTTTTGCATCATGTAAAACAGTTTGTTTCCTTGTATTCTCGGATTTGCCGTTTTGAGCCTTTTGGTGGAGAGGACGGCGATGCAACGTACTTGCCCAGTCTTCGTTAGACCCAAGAGTTTGAACAACCCACAGACTCAATAACTGTTCCAGCATGACATGTTCCAATAGATTGCAGGCTTTACTGGAGTCTTGCAGGTTTTGTGTTTGGTGCTTGCAACCAACATATATGGCATTCACTTTGTTGACTCTGTAGTCGCTGTTTTGTCGTTATTTGGTCATTCTACCTGGTGCCTAGGAAGTGCTTGTGTATAGCATTGTACCAAGGCAGCGATGGTGACGGTTGCGGCCCAGATGATGGAACTGCCTGTTGGTGCAGGTGCTGCTGCCACTACCGGGAAGGCGGATTCTGCTGTTGTCGATCCCACCCAGGCAGTTGAGGCGTCACAAACTGAGCTGCTAGTGACCCTAGTAACAAGGGCATCGCTACTAGTAACGAGGGCATTACTAGCAGCTAGAAGCTGCTTGTAACAAGGGCCGTTCTTTCAAGATTTTGCGCCTCTTTGAACACACTAGAGAGGGAGGTCGTTTCACGTGGAGCCGACGGAGTGCTTTGCTTTCGCAGGCACGTGCCGGTATCGGGAGCCTGAAACCTTTGATTCGTCACCGACATTGGCCTCTTGGGTAAGCAGTTCCAATGGTCTCAACAAGACTTGAATCATTGGTCTAGATTGGTTTAGACCTGCAATGGAATTCCATCAGATCAACATATTCTATATAATTTGCAAACTACCTAGAGCATGCATTAGCAGCGCTTGATTTCTTTGCGCCTTCAACTGCCCTTGGGCCGTGCAGGCTTCCAGTTTTCGGTTGAAGGCAAGCGTCCCACAGTACCACGGGGTGTGCAACTGTCTAATTTCAAGCTAACTTAGAACGGTGCGATGTTCTCAAACAAGCAGATCCTTGGCTTGAGATATGTTGAATGACGAACGTGACAACATATCGGCAATCAAGTCGAAGTTATTTCATCTTACCAAACAGACCACATAAAGCAAGACAACAGAACTTACAGCACTTAAGGCAACATGTCACAACATCTTGCCAAGCACCCCACCCACACACAACGAAGCAGCCACGAATTACGCATCTCACCAGGGATACACCCTCATTCCCTTATTCCTGACAAGAGTCCGGCCAACGAACAGCGCTAATCTAACTATTCCGACTTGGTGCTTATTCACTAGACTCGTGCAGGGCAGTGGCCTTCTGAACTTTACACCCATTGTTCGGTTACATGTGTGTGGTGTGTCCGGCTAAAGCTGAGGCTGCCTGGAACGTGGTCATGTTCGTGGTCGTACTGCGCGGTTTCGCATAGCCAACCTTTGTCAGGCCCTTGAAGAGGGCAGGGCTGGTTGGCTCATCTTTTTCTACTTTTTGTCTTTCTTCTTTCTGAGTCTTGTACAGAACTGAATTTTGGCCTGTCTCGCCAGAGCCACCAGAGCTTGGGCAGGGATCAGGACTTATAAACCGCGCTGTGACCAAGACAAGATTCGTTGGCTTGGGAGAGAAATCAGAAATCAGAGCTAGTTGCCGCAGGTGGGGATGAATGCCATCTGAAAATGAAGCATCAAACCGAGCCTTTTGACTGCAATCCTGTAGACGTGCAATGAAGATCGGGGTGCTGGTGTCCCTTTCATTCACATGGTAGAGATTGCAAAAAGCGACGGAAGGGCGTAGAGGCGTTTGGCCTTTGGCACCGGGGGTTTCACGAAAAGACCTAAGGGTTCGACGTCGCCTTTTGCCACTTCCGCTTTCGCGCACGTTGGACCTGAAACCTGAAGCCCAGCGGCTCTGGGCCGCGTGAGTGACCGAGACACGGGAGCGATCGGCTGCAGATTGGCATTTGATGCCGTCAACCTGGTGGCTTGGTGATCGGAGGGTGGGGTGGTTGAATGCCAAGCTCTTGTTTTCATTGGGGGATTACATAGGTGCTCATATAGAACTGTTCTTGGTGACTCCTCGACCCGTATTGAATCCCATGCGATCCGATGGGATCCCACACTCATCCCGGCGAAGAGGGGCGCAGTCAGGAACTGACTCCCTTTGCTTTGGTGGGAACTCTGGAAGATGCAGGTTTTGCAGAAACGTTCAGCTTTCCATAAGGCCTCGCTATGCAGTGAATTTTACAAGTCCAGATCATCCGTGGTTCATAAATGCCAATGGCATTATATGCAGCCGAATGAGAGGCCCACTACTTGCACCGCAGAATGCCGAGTGCTTGAGCCGACCTCCGGTTCAGGAAGGAGGATGTGGATGCCCACCTTCGATGCTGCGGGCATGCCCACTTTCGTGCCTCTTGGAGGGAACGACGTGTGGATTTGTTCGACCAACTAGACACTTTGGTTCATTCCTTGACAAAGTCCAAAGGGCGAAGGGCTAACACTTTGATTCTGTTTTGAGTTCAAGGTGGGAGGTAGCGGCAACTCTTATTCTTCTGTGCCGTTGTCGTCTTGCTTCTCATATTCTTCGTGGGGTCGGAAGTTCTTTTGATGCTCCACTAAGCAGCTATGGATAATGTTGAGAGGTGCTTTCTTGTCCTTACGGAAAGTGACCATGTCATGCTCACTATGGCTTCCTGAGAGACTTGTTTTCTATTTTATAGTCTCTTTCACAGGAAACCATTCAACAGTTGCTGAGGAACCCGATGCAAATGGCCAACATGGCCTGGAACCAGGGACAGGCGCCATGGAGAAATGGCATGCGTCGATGCGTGGTGCATGACTGCTGGTAAACCACGGGTAGGCTAACAGAGCTCAGGAAGATGTTTGTCTCGAGTGCTGAACCCAAGTGACCCAAACCACTGTAGGATTTTTAGACTTGCCTTCCGTGAGCCACTCGATTGATCGAGAGGGAGTAGGTCAACATAGGGTGTTTCAATGTTTTTCACGCAAGCATACGCAAGCCCATTTTGATCACTGTGGTGTTCCCCGGAGAGGATTCCCAGAGTTGGATTGCTGGCATTTACTTGCCACCCGTGAGTGCTCCGGTTCATCTGTACTCACGCGGTGTGGGTTAGCGGGACAGAGGTTGCCTTGCTGATGTTGAGTCCATGGTCTGCTAACCGAAAGAGCGATGCGATGTAGCCATCCACATTTCGCAGAAGGGCTCTTTGGTCCCCGGATGTACGGGGTAGAAGCTTGTTAGGAAGCTGCTAGGACGCTAGGACCTGCTAGGATTTATTTTCACTGTTTGAAACCAAAGATCTCGTGTTTCGAGGCTCAAGAAGCTGAAGAGGTCGTCTCCTCCAGAGGCCGGTCACCATGTGAGGAATGCGGTAGGTCGTCATGGTGTTGAAGCAACGTGAGGATCTGAAATGAAGGATCTTGCAGATCTCCCAAGCCCGCGGGGTTGATGGATGGTTTGTTTCCTCCGTAATTCTCCCGCAATGGACGAGATGGACGAGTGCTGATTACCGTATTACCTCAACACTTGCACCATTTTGTCACTTCGAACATTCCAGAGTATTCCAGAGAAACTTCCCGATAATCTTTTCGAAGCACTCCTGGACTTCCATTGATACTGCAATCCAGAAACACCGTTCCTGCAGCCATCAGCTTTGTGGAGATTGCAAAATATTGTGGACGGGATGACGGCAGCTTTAAGCTAGCCACAGTATGACAGTCACATTTGTCCTCCAGTGGGGTGAACCACAAGCCATAAGTCAAGGATTTGGATTGCTCCTTCCGCAAGGACATGTTGAGAAAAGGGAAACTAGGGGGTGATCATGGGTGGTCCCTGTGCCACACTCTTTTTGGCCTGAGTTGAGGCGGGCAGAAGACCATAGACCGTGATTTGCGAAGGCTGGCGAGCCGCTTGGAAGGAATCTTTATCTGCAGGGGTCCCCCCTAACGCGCCCTAGGTTGCTCCGGAGTTATGACCATTCAAATCATTTCAAATCAAAGTTCAGAGAGACGACACCTTCTGTTTCCTTTCTTCAGATTTGCAGTTCCCAGCCATTTCGGGACATGGGTGTTCCCAGTGGTCCGTGGTGGTCCGCTGACATGCAGAGCCGGTTGCAACAATTCGACCAACCGGAACAGGATGCTGGAGCCATGGTGCGGAGGTCTCAGACGTTTCCCGAGCGACTCAGGCTTCTTTGGCATCGATGAAGTGACGCTGGAGAGGCGCACGGCCCGGCCCAAGGGCGAAGCGTGTCACATCCGAAAAAGAAACACCCTTTGAAAGGGAGCATTGGACAAAAATAACATGAAAATGAGAACACGTTAGAAGATTGATGCTCCTTGTTTCCTCATAAGGGAATGCATAGGATATGCACACGGTGAATTGGAAAACATTGGAAAACCCGTGTGCAAGATGATAAAGAACCAGTTTCCTGTGATTTTCCCTGTATACACTCGATTGCTGTTGTTTGTTCGATGGGAGGCTGGATGAGCTCATGGAGAAACATTCTCCGGAGCAACGCAGGAGGCACAGATCGGACGCGTCTCGCTCGCGGATAGGATTTGGATGATGCGCCCTTGCCATCCCTTGTACAGAAACCAACAACACCCCGCCAAAGTGTCTTCAATTACGAGTTGTTTAGTTGGACCAACAGTAACTACAATGAGTGCACATCACCAGATTGTGCGGGTGATGCATGTGTCACTTGGAGGATGTGTAGAAAGAATCCCTGCTCGGATGGAAACTTGATGTTTTTGAATGTTTTTGTGATATCCTGATATCCTCTATGTATATAACATCCACATAGAACAACTGTTCCAAGATGTTCCAAGTTAGGATCACAAGGTCGGTAGGTCATGACCCGGGCCTGAAAAGTAAGGTAATGGATGCTTACAGTATGTGAAGCACTAACCTACTTTAGCAATGAATCGTGGCAAACCCACTGGCGTGAGGTGTCGAGCTCCACAATGATTTCAGGTGGACAAACCTCCTGCTGTTACAGGTGGCATTTACGATGTGTTCGATTAGGTGTTCCAGGTGCTGCAGGGTTGCTTCCATCAATGGTCAGGCAATCACAAACACCAGTCTCAATACATCCCTCATGTGTTCCATGGGTTCCTGGGTCTCCATATTTCTCTTAAAGGGAGGCTGAAACATGACCCAAGAATTGTTTCTAGGCTCCTGTCACTGGGTTTTGGCGTTTCCCAGATATGTTGTCTCGACTGACAACCTGGCTGTTCTTCCGTATGCACACTGCAAGTTGCAAGTCTGAGCGTCATGCATCAAGGAGTTTCCAACAACCCTCCTCTTCACCAGGATCACCGACCGTTCGGTCGTAGGTTTTTTATTCGTGGTCGCGTCACCTATGGTCAGCCTTTGATCGACGCAAGAAGAGCACCGTTGTTTTTCAGGGACTTGTTACTACTAGTGCATCGCTAGTAGTAACAAGTGCCTTACTAGTAGTAACAAGAAGCTTCTAGTAACAAGTGCATCGCTAGTAGTAACAAGAAGCTACTAATAGCGAACATTGTTCCTAGTAGGGCCAAGAGCGCCCCGTTCGGTTCGCGTCCTGTTCCTAGGGACTTGGCAAAGCTGTACGAGATCTTGGAGACTGCAAGGAGCCCCTCAAGGCTGTTGATGGCCAAGACGGAAGAGATGGAGGATGGACAGTTCGTGCCCTGGCATCAGCGCAAGAGATGGAGTACGTGGGTTTGGTTTGCCTTTTCTAGGAGATTCTATGGATGCAGCAAGCAACTTCTTCTCCTTTTCTGGGGGTTGACTTTCCTTTGTCATAACACCGTTCTTTTTGTGCTGTGCGCTCATAGGCCTCGCGACCATCTTAGTGCAGGAAGGACGTATCGACAAAGGATTGGAAGGCAGGAAGCGACATCCAAGCCCTAGTGACTAGAGGAAGATCTGCAGACGTTTGTCTTAGTCTCCTGGGGTCAAGGAAAGCATCAGTTTTGCATAGTTTCACTACCCCAAAGAAAGATAGGCCCCACCTGGTCACCTGGAAGGGGAATATTGACGAGGTGAGGAGCCAACGCTAAGCTTGTAGGAAGGAGAACATCATTTACCAAACACAGCTTGCTGGAGTACGCTGAAGGAGCTGCTTCAAAAGTTCCAACCAACTTTGGACCAGAACCTGCGACTTCCCCGCGGTCTGGATGGAACTCTTGCGTTTCTTGACCCCTTAGAGCGGAAGAGTCAGTTTCCAATAGGTGTGGTGCACATTTACGTCTCACTTTGTCTCCGAGGTGACGAACTTCAAGCGAGATGAACACATTGACAGGCCAGGGCTTTTGCCACTGACCCGACTGACCCTGAAGATGCTACGACGGTATGATCTCAGCCTTTCTAAAACATAGGTATCAGCCTCCACAACCGAAACGACGATGGAGACCTGTGCTAAGACCACCCTGCTGCTCCCAAAACCTTGTAATTTAGCATACATAACTTTCCAAACATCAACAAGTGTTCAAACTTGGTACGCAAGTCCCCTAAATAGCTTGAGGTGACCAATGCACCAGCAGTCATGTTTCGTGCCAAGGCACCTCTGGAGCCGCTGGTGGTCGTTGAGATAGCAATTGAATTAACAACCACACTGTTTTGCGTAGACGTATTCGTTCCTCGAGTCTGCACAAAGTCTTCTCGGTGACATCTTTTCTGGGCTCCCCTTGAAGTCTGGCATCATATGAGGATTGCGCAAGATCAAGTAGCTCAAGTTGCATTGGTTTGGAATCCAACTTCGACATGCAAAGCCATCACCATCATCGGCCTGGAATCCTGCGTTTGGCGTCGACTGTCAGGCTGTGTGAACAGTATCGTCTGAACGATGCGGCCAGGCCAGACATGAGTACAGTGGAGAGTCTGTAGTGTTTTTTTTGCCTCAGCTCTGAATAAACACACCCTGCAAGTGGGCTTACATGCAACCCATTTCTACAACTTGCTAGTGAGATTCTATTCTATCCTTGACGCTTGCGCACACACACACAATGACTTTAGGTAGAGGCAGAATTGGGGAACATAGCTCGGCTGAGAGAATCACAGCGGATCTTGACCAGCCTTCGGGTGAAAGGTAGCGAATAGGGAAATCGAGCGAGACACTCCAGGTGCCGCCTAGTAGAGCTAAGAGTACGGCGACCTCAGAGCCAAGAAGAGGAGCGACGAGAGTGAGCTTTATTTGTCCGTTAAACGTCCCAAGTTCAGCAAATTGACACAGATTCTGCCCACATTGAAACAGCCTAGTAGTCCTCAAGCACATTGTTGACCGCAAAAAGTGCAGGTAGAGCCACTTGTCACTGCTCGCTCTCTTTCATTTTTCTTTGAAGAACTTTCAAATGGATACACCTATACGCCTATATCAATTTCCGCATAGCTGGAGAGCTGGACCAGTGATCGAGGTAGTTTCCAGCTCGAGCATAGAGGTGTGACTGGCATGGCTGTCGGCATGGGTGGCATGGCACATGGCACAGTGGTGCAGCTGCAGGGCCTGACGTCCAGACCAGACTTGAATGGTCTCTACAGCGTGATTCTGGAAGCACAAGATGCGGAGTTGGCTGAACTGGCAAAGACTGGCCGAGTGAAAGTGGCCGCTTATCCTAAAACACTAGCATTGAAACCCGAATGCGTGAGATGTGTTGGAGCAAAAGAGTTGGATGCAATTGATTGGTCCTTTGCAGATGTCATTCTTCCAGGTGAAGCGGAGTTTGCCACGGCCAGAGCTGCCATTCAGCATCCGGACAGCAGATGTGGTCATGTGCACCGATGTGATGAGTTTGCAGACATCCTTTGGAACATCCTCACGCAAGACATGCCCCAACCACCAAGACTTCAAGTCGACACTGATATGGTTCAACGCATTCTAAATGATGCGGTGCCTCATTGCTTTCATTTCTTGGCTTTGGATCAAATTGGCCACCACCTCGTGATTGAGAAGCGTGCGGGACGTGTTCATGTCTTTCAGTCCTATATCATTGATACTATCCAAGAGTCTGGCAGGAAGGTTGGCTACAGTGCGCGAGAATGGGTCACTGGCCGCCCAGAAAAGCCGAAAGGGTCCGTAGTAAGCAAAGGAATGCTGAAGGCACGTCAGCGATGGGGTGGCAAAGCACCTTTAAGCTACACACGGCTTGAAATGCTGATGCAGCTGATTCTTCAGCTACAAAGATGCGCTGGTGAAATTGCTGAGGTAATGTACCATCAGCTTCCAGCGGAGCTGCTGGAACAGGACATGGCTTGGCGTGCCCGGGTCGCGAAGCAACGCGAGGCAGGTGGTACAGAAGGCCTCAAAGAACAGGCCAACGGCCCTGTGGCACAGTGGGCAGCTGCCTTTGTAGAACAACCAGATCAGATGACAATTTGCCCTTATCCCGACGGCCGAATCATGATTTGCATGGTGGGCTATGATTTTATGTTTGAAATTCCTTGTTTGATGGCAGAACAATTCTGCGATCTTTTTCTGAATCTCACAGGTGAGGAGCCTTTGGCTCCAGTGTACCTGATGATTCTTCATTTCCGAGATTGGTCTCGTACCTTTCATTTGGACAAGATGACCGGCAAACCAAGTGCAGTAGGTTGGGCCGTCTGCAGTGTCACCTGTCCACATTGAACTTCTTGAACTTCGCCTCGGGCGAAGGCATGAAAAGTATCGCGTGCCATTGTCCCGCATGTTGAAGACAGACATAGAAGAGGGTATGGCAAAATGGAGCATCCAATTTACCGGTAGTACATCTGAATACGGCACTTGGAGGATCTGCAACTCAAACATGACGCGATCAACGTTCCTCTTGGGACAGGCATTTGTTTTGGGTCCTACAGGGTGATGTTGCTGTCCAAACACTGTTTTTGAAGACCACAAAGAAAAGGAGAGGCACTAACAGGGAAGGGAAGTCGCACTGAACATCAAGGGATGTTCAATGTTGAAGCTCTCCCGACCAGGTGTTGCTGTCCGCTCTACGCATAAAACATGATGTTGAACCCATTGGTTGGACCCTATTGTAATCCTTCTGCCCCTAGGAGAGGACTGTAGCGTTGACACTGGAAGAGATGTTCTGGATGCCAGGAGCCCCTAGTAGCTTCTTGTTCCTAGTAGTGTGGCCAGGAGCTCCTAGTAGCGTCCTTGCTCCTAGTAGCGATGCCAGGAGCCCCTAGTAGCTTCCCCGCAATCCCGAAGTGGCTTGGCGATGGGTTCGACTGCAGGATCACCGGCGTTTGGAGGAGCACCTTCAGATGTGTGAGGACACCTCTTTCACTGCGGAGTCGCTGATCAAAAAGGCCAGGGTCGAATAGGGAGCTACGCACAAAAGTTGAATGGTTCTTCCTTTTGATATGATTGAATTGCTGGGTCCCTTTTGCAATTTCTCATACGCAATATGGGCGGCATAGTCACTTGCAAACCTTTGTAAGCTTTCTTCTAGATAGTCTCAGAAAATGACAAATACATCTCCAAGTAGGACTTGGACGGACGACAATTCTTGAGTTTTGTGAATCAGCTCTTCAATGGATAGTGGATAGAACATTGATGGACCGTGTCTCACTTTTTTGTGGCGCTCGAGAGCAACATCCCATAGCCAACCGCTGGAGGTGACGCAAGGGAGGCAGCCGCGGCGAGAGTTCTGCGGTGCAGTGTGTCCATTTGGAGTGTGTTGGTGTGTTGGGATTGCAACGCAAGCGGCGGAAACAATAGATGAGTGTACCTGGGTAAGGCCAAAGTTTTTCCCCTGATCACGCATGATAGTGTTAGAGCACCCTCTATTCAAGTAAAGATGGGCACCAAAATCATAGCGACAATGTTGACATTCCATGGATTTAGCCTGGTAGCCTTTGAGTTTCCACAGAGGCCTTTGCACTGCAAAAGAATAATGCACTGTAGTTATATATATGATAGAGACATAGCAAAGCCACTGTCGACGATAGGCTGATAGGTTTTCGGCCTCATAAAGAGTATGTCCTACATATAGAATAATTAGTAGCAAGTGCATCGCTACTAGTAACAAGTGCATGACTACTAGTAACAAGAAGCTAGTAGTAGCTATTGTGCTTTTCACTTGGAACAGCCACAAACTGGGTGAACACATGTTTTTGGAGGGGTGTGGGAAGAAGGCGTCCCAGTTGACAGCAATGACCTGTGTGTATAATATGGTCTTTTCACCATCCAATCCCCTGCGGCAGCTTTTGTCCTGCCCTTTGGGGAGGCTCTCAGAGCTGCCTGATCTCTCTGAAGCCAAAGCTATAGCGGCGCAACTGGACCAGGCGGATCTTGGGACCTGTGGGGAGCAGGGGGTGGACCTGTGGGTGGGTTGTTGGCCGTGCTTGCGAGAAGCATGGATTTTCGGTTGAGGGGTAAACAGCCACTGTCTTGTGTTGCAGGTGGAGGCCGGCTGAGGCCCAAACTCACTCCGTAAGTTCAGGCAAGATTCCATGGATGTCCTTTATTCTTCAGAATGAGGCAGGGTCAAACACTTTTTGTGCTCCAGGAAAGCTTACGGCTTATTGGATTTGAGATGATTTTGTGTGAGTTTCATGGAGTCACTGCAGTATGTCCTTTCTTCCTTTCGCAATTGCTGGACCGTTTTTTGCCCTTTCGGTGAGAAAACATGCAATCTTAGGAAGAACCCTGACATTACTTCACCATGGCTCTACTTGACTAACCATGACATAAACGAGATAATCCGAGACTGCCCAGTGCGGCGCTCGAGGTGGCGCAACGCAAGCTCCGGGAGGTGGTGGAAAAGCGCCACGAGGATCTGAAGCTGGTGCTCGAGCAGATTCAAAAGGCCGGTGTGTCGCATGGGCTGTCGCTTTCGCATGTCTGGCTGTCGCCAAGTGGTGTCCAAACTCCGAACCCGGTCGGAGTGAACGTCGAAACCGGAGAAAGCCGGGAACCACTGGAACATGCGATCGGTCACTTCTACTTGGATAGCCACCTGCGGGTGGACGACTCTTTTGTCACGTGTGGATGATTCGTCCATCACTAGGGGTGGAAGATTTTTTGGGCATAAATTGAGAAGGTTTACATAATTCTTGCTTCCCAGCACACTGGGATTTCAATTCATGAATGAAAGATTAGCAAAGACTGCTTTGGTGTAGTGACATGCTTGTGTCATGCCCGCTGTTAGCAGCGCTGGCTACCTCACAAGATTGCCACCCGCCTTGGCAGTATTTCCTGACCAACACTTTATCCAAGTTGATGCACGGATTGTGCATGTTTGGTCCGTGCCAACTTCAGCGCACAAGTCTGGCGTGTTGAAACAGCAGTCTCGGAGGCTGGTCCACTTTAGAAGGCTTGATGAATTGGACCTCGGCCTTTGTACACGCTGCTATGCAAGCTTGGTCTCAATCAACATAGACCGCGCTTGTCGCTTGAACAGGAATGGCCTGATTGTCACTTTAGGTACTTTGTCACTTTAGGTCCAGACCTGTCCAGCCAGCCTCAATGTAAAATGTTATCGTGCAAGCTCCCACGAAATCCTTTCAGTGAAAACTGATGTGGTTGAATCATGGTTGTATCTCCTGGTCTTCTTTCAGTTCATCCAGGTGCATGCAATCTCTTATATATTGTTGATCACATGTGGCAGCCCAATACACGTGGATCTCTTTGAGCTCAAGGGGCTTTCTGCCGACATGGCCGCCGCCATGGCTGCAGGTTTTTCCGGCCCCATGCCTCATGCCCTGATGTGCACAATGCCGACACGACCTCCCATCCTCAATGTGCCTGATGCAGACCCGCCCCGACTAAACGTGACCAGGATACAAAGAGATTCCATTCTTTCATGGCCTGGTTGGTCTTGTGCAAGAAAGATTGTTGTCAACTGGTCGTCCAATCTTGCCAGTCTTCAAGCTGTTCGAGTAGCGTGCTCTGTAGGAAAACCACTGAAAGAGAGCAACGAAGATACATAGAGGCTTTTTGATAGTAAGTTGAATTCCAGATTTCTCAAGTCCCAGGTGGGTGGCTGTTCTTTGGCGCATGGGCATGCCAATGAGGGAGATTGGGATGCCTATGATGACGATGACCCCGTACCGACCAAGGGGTGCATCAACCGGCGTGCAAAGCAGCGTATTGAGCGACTAGGGTGCGCATATGTCTCTCGGGTATTGGCCTCCTCCGAGAAACAACTGATATAATTACACGACGAACAGGCAAACAAATCTCGAATCGACTGAATTCTTTATCTCGTGATTTTGCAATGTTTTGCCTAGGTCTCCTGTTTGCGGGTGCCTATTGTTGAGCGATAGGGAATGCAGGTGCAGCGTAGTGAAGCGTTGTGCAGAGGGAGGTGGGATGATGTTCCCCTTATTGTTACACGAACAAAGTTCCATTCCGCAACTCTCCATTCTTCTGAAACTTTTCTTCCGCAACTATTTGGTACTCTTCCGCAACTACTCTTCAGAAACAACAACTATTTTGTGCTCTTCAGAAACTATTTCGCGATCTTCAGAAACTTATTTGCATGTTTCAGAAAGTATTCTTCAGAACTTTTACCATATTGTAACCAAATTGCATGAAGGAGCACTGGGTGGGTGGGTGGGTGGGTTATTGTCGTACCTTGTGACGGCTACGGTATTGCGTGCAAGTTCTGCATGCATGAGTGAGCAGCGTCAAAAACCCAAGAAGGGAGCTTCGAGGAGGTTCACGCGGGTCATGGCCCGGGCAACAGCTGATTAGAACCCCACCGCGACCAGGATTGATGTTGCCCTTCATAGTGTCCGAACATTAGTTTCTGAAGAAAACCTTAAAGTGTCCGAAGATCACCTTTGAGTTGCCGGGGATTAGTTTCCAAAGAAAAGTGTCCGAAGAAAGCCGTAAAGTTTCCGAAGAAAGCCGTAAAGTTTCGGAAGAAAGCCGTTTAGTTTCCGAAGATTAGTTTCCGAAGGAAACCGTAAAGTTGCCGAAGACTAGTTTCTGAAGAAAGCCGTAAAGTGTCCGAAGATCACCTTTTAGTTTCCGAATAACACTTTTATCATTGTTACACAGTTCCCATCAGTATGGTTGTCAAAGGTAGGCCACCCGCATTGTAAACTGTAAAGAAGGTGTTGTTGTGGAAGCGAAGCATGGGAGTACTCCATGCCGGCCGGTGCTCTCGCATGAGCGCTGACCGAGGCAAGATGAGCTACTGGAGTTTTTGTGGAAGAATGGTTTCACAGATGTGAATACCACGAGAAAAGAGAAACGGTGCAGGCGTTTTCCTAGGCCTTCTTGCCTCTTTGCAGAGGAGGAAGTGCTGAAGCTTGGCTGTGTTGAAGAATTTCTAGCTTTGTCTCTCCTTGTGAGGGGTGTCCACCCAATTCTCATAGACAGTTACAGTGCTCTTGTTTGTAGAGTCCACACCCCAGGTATCCGTTGCATCTTGCAGTGAAGATGGGAGATGCCAAGCTGGTTTCTTTGCTCTTGCGTGCTGGCGCCGACAAAGACCAAGAGTCCTCCAAGGGCCGACGTCCGATGGAGGTCGCACAGCAGGCCAAGCGAAGTGAATCGAAAGCGGAGATCGTGGAACTCCTTGAAGGAATCCAGAAGCTCGGTGTCAAGAGGCAGGACAAATAATGAATGCGGTCAGTCTAGGACTGGAACAAGTCACAAATAGTGACACCAACTACCGTCTTACAGAATCTTCTTTCATCTTCTTTCAGGTCGATCAAAGGAATAGAGGTCAGCAAAGCGTTACAGTCTTACTGTACGCCCTGGTTCTGTAATCTCTGACTGGAAGTTAGCCGTTGCTGATTTGTCGATCTCCTCATTCTTAAGGCATTGTTCTTTAGCTGAAACAGGGGATCCATGGATGCTCAGCATATTCGCCAGCCTTTTCCGTTTACCTCACCCGTGTTGGTTTTTTCCTTTGCAACATGTAGCTGCTAATTTAGCTCTTCTCACGCTTCTGGACTTCTACTCCCTGAACGCTAATCTGGGAACCCTAAGTGTGACGCCATTCCTTGTCCCTTCTCGAGTTAAGGAAGACGCAATCCGTGAGAGATCTTTTGAGGTCCACCCAACGGAAGCCACAGGGTTGGCAGTAGAATGCCTACGACCGATGACCGGTTTCACAATGAAACCTCGGACGCTTAAATCAAGGCAACTGGCTGCGTGCCGCGTCTCAGACTAGGTAGACCCTGACCCCTGATTAAAAGAAAGTAGACGAATGCCTCGTGATTGGGGGGGTCCTATGCCACTGCATCAGTTGCTACCTTAAGACCAACTCATGCTGTGAGACGCTCGGCCGTAGTACTTTTTTCCTGACACCTTCTACCAAGCGTCCAGCGCAACTTGTTGGACGTGCGGAGTTTGCGGGTTTGCGCACACATGAGGTGCGAACTGCACTGTATTGTGTTCTTCGAAACAGTGCTGCTGTCTCAGACAGCAAATTAATTTTCGCCAATTCGCAGAGACCGACGCGATATTTTTTGACATGTTGATTGAATGCTGAAAGGCTTGTGGCCGACCTTCCAAACATCACCTTTGCACAGCATCGACATTTGTCCTCATGCCCCATTTGGGTTCAAAGGGGTTTTACCACAAACCTTTTTCTTCCGCTTCAATCAACGATGAGCCGGAACCATTTGCCAAGTTTCCGGTTATCTCCTTCAGACTGACATGGGCCTTTTTAGCCAGCCTATGCCAGCCTAGTAAAGATCAGACCGTCACGCAGAAAATCGAGCAGCCTGACGTGCGAGGTCAGTTTGGGGCGCCTCACTTTGACTCGGACAAAGCAAGTTGGAGGGTCGCTCCAAACCTGCTTCCCACCTCGTACATTTAGTTGACCAGTGATGGACTTCTCCTGCTTGTTTGGAAACTCCACTGCCCCCCTCCCAGGTGTCGCATCCCGAAAGCATGGTGAGCTCCACCATCGAATTCTTTCACGGTGCAGGTCCTGGCTGTGGCTTTCAGCCCGTCGATGACCTTCCTGAAGGTGCCGGCTATGCAGGAACATGTGGGGTTTGTGGGGCATGGTGCAGGGTCCCAGGAGGGTTTCAGGGTTCGAAAATGAGAACTCCTTTAAACTTCACCTCCTCCGAATCGGGGTGTGTAACGTCGATCTTGGCATTGGGATAGGCTGAGGCATGTCCGAAAGAGTGTCCAGTCTTTTTCTTGTGTACGGTCCTACCTGGTCCAACCCCCAGCAGTGATAAAGAGGGGCTACAAGCCCACTAAGAATGTACATCTTGCTTCATGTTGCTAGAACCCCCATGCTGAATCCTTCAATAAGATCGGTAACGACTAGGCTAATTAGACTAAATATAGAATAGGCTGAGGCAAATGCGCATGATTCTGAAGGAACAACAGGATACAAGAGGAATTATTTTCTGATATGCCATGTCCATTCTTGTAGACATCCGGTTTCGATTTGTGTAGCTATTCCTGCCACATTCCGATGTTGGTGCAAAAGAGACAGTTCTCAAACATCAGCTGGGTTGTGCATGGGTCTTCAGTTTTGAACTTTGAGGAGTGAGAAGGAGTGAGAATGCCTCAAGGCTTCGGAACACGCTCCCCTTCGGTGGTCCCGGTTGGCGTTAGCCTGACACAATCCACAGGTCGTGGACACTTACCTGGCGGGTGGACTGGTGGAGGCTAATGAGATCGAGGTAGGCGGGTAGACTGGGGATGTTGAGCAAGGCCAGGAGCCCCTAGTAGCTTCTTGCTCCTAGTAGTAAGGCACTTGTTTCTACTAGCGAACATTGTTACTACTAGTAAAGCACTTGTTACTAGAAGCGATGCACTTGTTACTGGGGATGTTGAGCGTTTCGGACTTTGTCAGACCTTTCAAAACGAGCTCGGGTGGAAGTTGGAGACACGTTGGGATCTCCAGCGACCACACTCATTTGCTTTGGAATTGGGGATGCTGCCATGAAAAAAGAAATATAGGACCTCAGCCCCCTTCAGCGCAAATCACATATATAGGAGTTTTATTAAAACATGCTGTCTGTGTTTGGAAGATCTGGACCTTGGCTCCAAAGAATCTATTTTGGATTGTGAGTCTGATGCTGGAGAAAGTATCTTAAAATAGAATCAGTGGTGATACAATGGCTTTGAACCTCAGCACTGGTTGTTTTTAGTTTCATTATCTTGGATAGTCAGGGACGCTACCCCCCCAGAATTGCTTATTTTTGGGGGTGCTGATGCCCCCCGTGGCCTGGAGCCCCAATCTTTGGATCTGTTTAATGTCGGATGCTTATTCAATTAGTAAAAGGGATCCCTCCCCCTCCCTTCTAAGCAAATGGGAGGTCCTCTAAAACAAAGTACCACCAAAACAAATCTGGATTCCTGGATTCCTTTTGCAGTATTCATGATCCTTTCTTTTGAGTTCATTAATCTCTACAAGCCATCCATTGGCTTAGTAGTATTGAGATTTATGTTAATTTAACTTTACTGATGAAAAAACTTTGCACAATTGACGACCCTCAAAACAAATTTACTATTTAGGATCAGGGGCCTTCCTGGTCTACTAAGAGTCTACTACCTTGTCAGTTTGTTTAGGCGTAATCTTCACATAAAGGATTGATTAAGGAATTGATGGCTTTGGGAAGCTGTCAGTTTTGAGGAAGAATTAAAGAAGCCTACTGTATAATCATCAATAATCCCAGCAGGCCAGTCATTGGCTTGGTCGTATTCACAGGGCTCAGAAGAATTTACAATCCAAATTGGTCTCAGATAATAAACAATGAGTGCACCAAATACATTCAGCATAATAGAGGACCCTTAAAACTCCGTTTCGTGAACCTCTGCCCACCCATACCACCGAGCATAGTAACTTCCAGACTACCTCTTGTGGCATGACGCGTGCACCGGCTGTGCACATCACCTTTCACAAAAACAAACATAGGGTTCAATTTTTTTAAAACATGATTTAGCATTATAGAGGACCGGATTACTAATCAGGATCTAATATTACTTAGGATTCAAATAGGCGAGATCAACACAAATAAATAACTATATCCATGAACGTTTTGCTTTTTAAGCCAGGCAACTGCTGTGGGTACCGTATCAACCAAAGCCTCAGGGATATGACAAGGCTTCTGGCTATCAAGAAATCCCCGTATGTGTCGGTTGTGGATCAATCAGCTTGCCAACAAAAAAGACAGCTTGGGTTTTGAACATTTGGAAACTTCGAGTCCAACGTTCTGCTACCAACACAGGTGATCCGCTTGCAATCCAAGCAGCAGGCAAAGCGCCAGAAGAAGGCTGCGGGGGGGGGAGGGGCAGATGAGCGTCAAAACCGAACACCCATGAAGTTTGGATGAGGATGCCGACATTGTTTTCAACTTCGGACCCAACCTCCCAAAACAACTTCCAGCAATGCACCAACTGATTCTATAACGAATAGTTCGGCCTACGCTTCTCAGGTTGAATCTGGCTGAATTGTTCAATAGTCTCAATGTGCTTTCTTGAGAACAACCAAAGCCTCATTTGCAGTTTGCCTCTCATCCTGTAGTGCTCTTGAGGCACAGAAGCAGAAGAAGAAGAAGGATAAGAAGAAGAAGGAGAAAAGTAGCAGTAGCAGCAGCAGCAGCAATGGCAGCTGCTTTGCTGCCAGTTGATTTTGTTTCTGATTTGTTTCGTTGTCTCTTCGCTGTTGCTTTCCTGAGAATGAATTTCCCAGGAGTCACTCCAGTAGGTCACTTCACATCCCAAGAACTACCAAGGAAGATATTGCTGGGCTCAAGAGGCCTCAGGAGAAAGTAGAGCGGTGGTTTTTACTCTATCATCACCCTACCTGAGTTCCGGGTGGGTGGCAAAGGCTGTAGGCACAGTGAGCATCCACCTCGCCAGTGTGAAGAAACTGCCTTTCAGAAATATCAGAAACCAACTCACTAGGACAACCAGGACTACCATGATTCCTGTCCTAGCATGTCCTAGCGTTCTTTGCTGGGCGGTGATGCTCAGGCTCCAGCTCCGCATCGTCCACTTCATCAGGCGCGGGACGGCGGTGGTGGTCATTGCGGGAAGGTGGAGTTGTTTTTTGGATCAAGATCCGGAATGTCAAGACCTGGTGGTCCAGGTATCATTTGTTATGCTAGGTGGAATAGTTTTCTTGATTGGGTCGACACAGACGAAGTACGGGCAAGATTGGAGGAAGTGATAAGTAGTGAGGGTTGGTCTCGAGATAGTACAGATTACGCATGTATCCGACTCAAAGAAACACTCAACGTGCACAGTGCACAGCATGATAGTACACACATATATATATAATATATATAATATATATATATATTATATGGTAAATCGACCAGTTGTTAGGTTGCAGGCCTTCTCAAGTCGTTGCAGCTCGTCGTTGTGATTTTGTTTGGAAGGTGCTGGGGGTGGACTCTGCGATGCGAATCCACTGTGAGCGAGAGATCAGCTTGTTTCTGGTTAGGAGGACTCAGAAATTATGGCCCCACCTGAGGTCTTCCGCTTTGGAACTTTGAGAGAGCTCCTGAATTGTTTCTTGTGGCTGTTGTGTCTTGGGGCTGGTTTTGTTTGGGAAACGATCAGCCCCTGCAGTGTTTGTGGGCCTCATGGCGATAGTATGCTCAAAGTCAGCCTTGTGAACCAGAATCAGAAAGGTCACCATTGTCACCATGGATGCCTAGACGCCTAGACTCTTCGCAGGCAAAAAGAAGAAGAAGAAGAAGTCCAAGAAAGTGAAGAAGAAGGAGAAAAAGAAGAAAAAGGCCTGACATTGCTGGAGGAATGTGACAACATAGATCCCGAATCCGAATGTCAAAATCTGGCGGTCAAAATCTGGCGAAACCGAGCTTTTGTATGCTTTTGTCAGTTCGACAGTTTGTATCATTTGTATTTGGGTTAATTAGGGTTCTTGAAGGGATCTCCAAGAGGAGAGGAGAGAGGCAAACTTTCGATTCTTGTGACTTTCCACTGGCCGGGAGCATTCTGAGCTTCAAGAACTATTGTTTGGTGACCTGGAATAGGGTTTCAAAGAATTGATGCTACAATATGCAGCAATGCTACATGTTATACATGTTCATAGCAGTTTCTGATACTTAGACAGTTTCATGAACAAAACGGAACATGTGCTTTAATTACTATCAAAACTAGAAGTCCCTTCCCTCTTCCAGGACAAGAAGGCCAAGTGACGTCCTCGTCCTCAGCTCCATCTCCCTTTTCAGAGCTCACCGTCTCACCGTGTGATGCCCCACGCGTGGGGCGAGCGGTTTCTTCGTGATGGGATCCGACAAGGGCCGACCAGTTGACGAGCTTCCGGAGGGCGGTGCAAGGCATCGACCTTCCACGTGGACTTTCGATACCTGGTTGTTTTCTGCAAACGACACGGAAGTACGGGAGTGATCATGTATTTGTGGCAGCTGTGGCCTACAAATTCCCGGATTTGCAAGCATTGAGTTGTGTTTGTTTGTTTCTTCAACAACCAGGGAACCGATAGATAGCTGTAGCTCAGACATTAATTATGTGGAACTACCGAAGCCAGCTTGGGCCTGGTGGGCCTGGTGAGCCGTGGAAGCAAAGAATAGAGGAAAACTGTTGAAAAGACAGTCGCATCAGTTGGGTCCGTCTCGGGGGGTGATCCTTAAAAACCCGGCTGAGGGTCTCAAATTGAATCGACAGGAGGACACTCCCAAAGTAGCCTTGCCTCTCCATTTGGCACAGGAGCATTTTCCAAACCCTCCAAAGCTTTAGGGCAGATGATCAGGGTAAATTGGTTGATTGATGCCCATTGCTTCACAACATTTAATGATCTGGATCAGACGGTTCCACGCAAGAGATCAAACGATAGAGTCGCAGAGCTTTTCCGAACATAGATCGGCCACCCGAAGAGACTGTCAAGTGGCCGGACCTTGACCCAGTTGAGGCTGTCTGGTACAGGCCACCTACAGCTGGACACAGCGGGTCACGGGGTCAAGTGGCCAAGCAGTGGAGGAATTGAGCCCGTACTTCTCTCGAGACCAGGAGATTGGTGAGGCTCGCGAATCCCAATGGCTTGTTCGCAAAGAACTCGTAGTTCTTTGATATTGTAGGCTTGTCCCCCCTCAGGCCACTGGTTCCAGTTCTTGAATATTCATGAATATTCATTCAAGCCCAAGCCCTAAAAGAAATCAAAAGAAGAGCGGAATGCCGGGAGGAACCTGACAGTCTCTTTTTGTAGTTTGCGGTAGTTGACTGGTAGAATCTCAACGCTTTAAACCATGGAGAACCTGCCAATGAGGCAATGGGTGACCTGACTGTCGCTTTTCAGCTCAAGAGCAAGGCTTGTATATTTTGTAATCTATTAGACAATGTGTACATGCAGACATGCAGAAAAGGTTTGTTGGCTAGAGCTTCTAAAAACGCTAAACACTTGCTTCCAGACGACCTCAAGGAATAGTTTTGGCAACAACAAACACCATTGGGAGCGTCTCCGATTCCTGAGATCTTTCGATCCATTCTTGGCCAATGGATTCTATGAACCCAGTTTCCCAGAGAACTCAACCGGCCAAGCTCTGCGCAGGATCCTCCCCGTCCACCCCCCTCGGGACACCGACGGGCGCCGGCCCAACGTCGGCCGGGCGCCGCGCCGATGTTCAGCTTCCGATCCGTGCTGCAGCAACTGTCCAGAGCTTATAGAGCGCAAGGGCGCCGCCGGGGCGCCATCCGCGGGAGGGATGAATTTGTAAGAATCTAAGTAGTTATATGTTATATGTGCTATCATCATCGATGATTGGTGACTACATGAATGGTGACTCTGGGGAATGAATTGTTTCTTGGAGTCTACATTGTTTCCACGCTCTCTATGGGTTTGTCACTAGTAGGTGGCATGGCAACTGGTTCACTCGCGAGTTGCAGGAAACAGCTCAGCTCTTTACCTCCAAGCATTCTCAACGTCAACACGTCACGTGTTTTGACTGACCCCTGAAATTTGCCAACTCAAGACATCGAATTCTACAACTTGAAAAGCGTTCGTTTTTAACGTCTTTTTTGCTCACAACCAGCCTTTGAGATGCTCACACAGCGACATGAACGTGGGGGAATGATAGGTGGTGTCGAAGGACAGACACTTGCAAATGCCCTCAACAGGGTGTCGAGGGGATGGCAACCCTAGTGACCCATATGGATCATCGAGGCAGCAAAGCGTTTTGGGAGGAAAAAGGTTGCAATCACCCTACTTGTTGGAACAAGAAGCTACTAGGGGCTCCTGGCATCGCTACGACGAGCAAGGACGCTACGGGGCTCCTGGCCTTACTACTAGGAACAAGGACGCTACCAGCAACACGTTGGTTTCTGTGACCATCCGCTGAGGTGTTGTATTCATCGGCCAGAGTCCAACCAACGTGCGTTGGAGAGGCTGGAAGAACAAGTAGCAGCTCAAACAGCGGGAGGAGCCACGGTTCCAAACGTGTTGAAGAACATCTAAAAAACCCACAACTTGTGACGTTGGAGGACTATACTTGCATGCATGCACATCATATACTCCTCCAAGCAAACATAGCACCTGACAGACGGATTCAGAGTCGGATTTCTTGGAGGACTCCCGACGGATCAAGAAGATCAGCTATTCCCAATGTGACGGCAGATAGACAAGCCTGTGGGTCATCCGTTCCCCACAAAAGATCTTCGTGCAGACTTGAAGTTCCTTAATTTGTTTTATAGAAGTACAGCAAATTGCATGGACGGCTACTTGAAATACAAACTTTTCTGCCACCTCACCTAAAGCGGCCTTCCAAGAAGAGAGCAGGATCATTGATGGTTTTGGCTGTCTAAGACTATCTTCAAGTCAAAGATACCCACAGCGGCAGCGCAGCTTTCTTTGCCTCCAAAGAACTCCATGTTTTTCTTCAACAAAACTGCCGCCCACGACCGAACGTCGGTCGTGTTGCAGCCGTTCCTGCCAGGTTCCAGCTGGCGCCTGCTTGGGCCTCAATGGAATAGGGAAGATATGTTTTGAGACCCTTCATAGCTGGGCTGATGTCCTTTTTGGGATCTGGATGCTGAGGGTTCCTCCAAAAGGTGAACTTCTTTGTGGGACTACAACCATCCTACCTCGAAATGTTTCAGATAGATCTATTCAACAGCCAGCCCATATGAGGGTACTTGATTGTGCATGCCAATCGATTGAAGGTCAGGTGTGTTTGGAAGGTGCAAGGATCTTCTCCACAGGTCGGAATGAGTGGGGCTCCTGGTCAAAGCCCTGCGGTGGAACTTCCTAGACTTCCGCGAGGCAATTGAAACTCTTCAGAATGCATTGGCATAGGCACACTGCCGACAAATTGTGGGTTGGCTGACCAGACACGAATCTGGCCCCGAAACCACAAGGCACTCAGAAACACTCAACGCAGTTTTCAGGCGGGTGGCTGCCCCAAGATGGGTTCAATGTGTTAAAACATGGGGAAGCAGCGAGGGTGACCGGGTGGGATCTCGTGCTCTTGAGGATCAAAGCCCAAGTCCTACGCCTAGCAATGTCGGGGCACCTGGGAGGTGAAGACAGGAGGCATCTATATCTCCAACCGAATAGCGATGCCCTTTGCTCCTAGTAGCTTCTTGCCACTAGTAGTAATGCCAGGAGCTACTAGTAGCGTCCTTACTACTAGTAGCGATGCCCTTGTTACTACTAGCGATGGCCTCGAACCTGATAGCTATCTACAGTTTGCACGCTTGGGATGACAGTAGCACAAGTTTGGAAGTGGACACCAGAGATTGATGGAGGTCCAAGTTGGCAATTGAATTGGGCATTCAACCGGCAACCGGGCCAGCAGGTGATCTAAAGGTCCGTGTGTTCATTTCTTTAAATATCTTGCGTAAGGAATGACCTTTAAACCGGCGTTCAATCCTTCACAAATGATCCGTGATGGGTGGGTTTGTGAAAGGATTTTCATCTCTCCCAGAAGATCCATCGAAGGTTGGCGCACATGCCAGCTGTAGACATGTCATGACGTCCTTTAGGAACATGCTTCGAGAATCTTCGAGATGGGTCTGCGAAAGATCTCTTTCTTCGTGAAAATTTGCCATTCTACAAAAAGGAGTTTTGACCAGCAACCAGCAGGCAAAGGCGAACCTGATTTGTTATTGCTGGATGTCCATCTTCCTAGCACCAGCCAGAAGAGGTTTCTTTTTGTCAGCCTCGAAAGTCTTTCTGGATCGGCACATGCTCCTTGCATGGCCTGTCAGCACTCAGAGGAAAGCTTCGAAGTGTTTTAGTGAAGAAGAGAAACGCAGTGTTGGGTGCCAAATAACTTCTGCCTTACGCCTCTGACTCAGCGGAAAGAGTGCCGGAGAACGTCTGGCCCCTGTCAACCTTCAGGCGATAGCTGAGCACGAGTTTTCAGGGTGTGAAGATCTCCACAGTTGGTCTAGTCGACTCGGAACAAGATCTCCAAACGCTGCGAGGTTCGGCACCTCTCAGAAGGCTTTGGAAAGGTGCACGGGGGCACGCCGCAGCGCGGGGGGCGCACACATGGGGTTTGAGCGATCGTTAGGGGAAGAGGACTTCTCGAGCAACTGCCCTTTTCATCCAGTTATACCTAATTACGTCTTTTCCAAAGCTTTTTGGAAGTCTCCCCAATTGAAGACAGATTCGTATGGCTAATGGCGATTGGCTTGGACTCACGACTCACAACCACTACAACCCTACAGGTGTGTCTCAAGCTATGGGACCCCTAAGACCAGTATCACCTTCCATATGCCCATGGACAGACCTCAGCCTCGCCTGTAGAATTTAGCTGATGAAGAATGTGAGGCGAATTCTACCCAGGTTGCTAAACCCTGTTCTAGCAGAGGTCCTTGGCGGTTCAATGTGCTGAAACATACAGTCCAAACTCTTGCCTTTATGGATCCACTGAAACATACTAGTAACAAGAAGCTACTAGGGGCATCGCTACTAGGAGCAAGGACGCTACTAGGGGCTCCTGGCCGTACTACTAGGAGCAAGTAGCTAGTAACAAGAAGCTATACAATACACGACTCAAAGGAATGGACGAGGACAAGCCTTCTCACCTCATCCTGGCCCCAGACTATCCGCAGGTCCCCACCCGGTTGCGCATCGCCTATGTCGCCACTGATCCAGATGTCCGGGGTGCCCGGATGAGATGCCGAATCGGTTTGGCTAACGATGTTCGATTGAGTAACAGCTCACGTGCTACATAAACTCGTTACATCATGTGTTCTGTTTTTTCCTTCCGTCCTTCCTTCCTTCTTTCCATGTTTCTTCAGTCCTGCAGACTAATTAGTCGGTCTTTTCCCACTGAGATGGTTCATCCGACCATGGGTCCCAATCGGTGTGCCAGACAGCCCTCTAAGGCAGACACCTTTGACCAGGCAGGGCTGGGGACACGGCGGAGTCT